CCCCCGGGACCCCCGGGAAATACCCCCAGGGAGCCCCCAGGCTGAGGAGAACCCCCAGGGACCCCTGGGAAACACCCCCAGGACTCCCGGGAAACATCCCCAGGGACCCCCAGGCACCCCCCCAGGAAACGCCCCCAGGGACCCCCCGGGAAACACCCCCAGGGACCCCCCAGGAAACACCGCCAGGGACCCCTGGGACCCCCGGGAAACACCCCCCAGGACCCCCGGGAAACACCCCCGGGAAACACCCCCAGGGACCCCCAGGGCCGGGGAGAACCCCCAGGGACCCCCCAAGTGTGGGCATGGGGGCAGTGGGGATCCGGGGGATGGACACAAGGGATGGAGCCGAGGGGAGGGGACACGGGATGGGGACACAGGATGGGGGCATGGGATGGGGGGGCAATGGGGATCCTGGGGGGATGAAGCTGAGGGATGGGGCCAAGGGATGGGGACACAGAATGGGGACACGGGATGGGGACAATGGGGATCCCGGGGGATGGAGCAGGCAGATGGGGACATGGGACAAGGACACGGGATGGGGACACGGGATGGGGGCAATGGGGATCCCGAGGGACAGGGACACGGCATGGGGGGCAATGGGGATCCCGGGGGCAATGGGGATCTCGTGAGATGCAGCCGAGGGACAGGGACACGGATGGGGGCAATGGGGATCCTGGGGGATGGGGACACGGGATCCTGGGGGATGGAGCTGAGGGATGGGGCCAAGGGATGGGGACACAGATTGGGGACATGGGATGGGGACAGGGGGTCCCGGGGAATGGAGCAGGCAGATGGGGACATGGGACAGGGACATGGGATGGGGGCAGTGGGGATCCTGGGGGATGGGGACACGGGATGGAGCCGAAGGACGAGGACAACGGGATCCCAGGGGATGGAACCGAGGGATGGGATCTCTGCAGGGTACAGGTGTGACCCCACAGGTGGGATCCCAGGGGATGGAGCCGAGGGACGGGGACAGTGGGGATCCCGGGGGGGATGGGGACACGGGATGGGAACATGGGGATCCCGGGGGATGGAGCAGAAAGAGTGGGGGCAATGGGGATCTCGGGGGATGGAGCAGAAAGAGTGGGGGCAATGGGGATCCCTGGGGCAATGGGGATCTCGGGGGATGGAGCCGAGGGACAGGGACACGGCATGGGGGCAATGGGGATCCCGGGGACAGGGACACGGGACGGGGGGCAATGAGGATCCCGAGGGACAGGGACACGGGATGGGGGGCAATGGGGATCCCGGGGGCAATGGGGATCCCGGGGAATGGAGCCGAGGGGTGCAGGGCAATGGGGATCCGGGACAGGGAACACCGAGGGCTCCGGGGAAATGACGGTCCCAGGGAAGGGACAGGCGGGGGCTGCGGGGCTGCCGGGAACACACGCGGGGGTCCCGGAGGGCCGGGCACGGATATCCCGAGAGGGGACTGGGACCGGCACCGGGGCTCCCAAGGGCCGCGGGGTCCCTACAGGCGGGGAGGGGACACGGGGGTACGGGGGGAAGAGCCGCGGGGTGCCGGGGGTGCCGGTGCTGACCTGGTGCGTGACGCCCCAGGCCAGCACGGCCAGCAGCGGGTCCGCGGCCCGCGGCAGCTTCACCCCGCTGCGGCACGAAGCGCTTCTGCTTCTTCTTGGTGCGGGCGGCGCCGGGGCCGGGCCCGGGGCCGGGGCCGGGACAGGGACCCGCCGCCGCCGCCGCCGCCGCCGCCATGGCCGCCGCTGCCGCTTCCGCCGCCGCTTCCGCCGCTTCCGCCGCCGCTTCCGCCCGGCCCCGGCGCGGCACCGGAACCCGGAAGCGGCGCCAGGAGCGGGGCGGGGCTGGGCCCGGGGACCGCCAGGGGGCGCCACGGGCCGAGGGCGGGAGCGGAGGAAACCGAGAGGGGGCGCCCTGCAGCCACCGGGACACGTGACAGGGACACGTGACAGGGACAGGTGTGACCCCCCCCCCCCCCCCGGGGGACACGTGACAGGGACACGTGACAGGGACAGGTGTGACACCCCCCCCGGGGACACGTGACAGGGACAGGTGTGACATCTTCCCCCGGGGACACGTGACAGGGACACGTGTGACACCGACAGGTGTGATATCTGCAGGGGACACGTGACAGGGACAGATGGCAGGAACAGGTAACAGGGACACGTGACAGGGACACGTGTGACACCTGAAGGGGACCGGTGACAGGGACACGTGTGACACCGACAGGTGTGATACCTGCAGGGGATACGTGACAGGAACATGTGAAGGGGACAGGTGTGACACGTGACAGGGACAGGTATGACACCCCACCAGGGACATGTGACAGGGACAGGGACACGTGACAGGGACACGTGTTACACCTGCAGGGGACACGTGACAGGACAGGTGTGACAGGACACGTGACACCGAAAGGTGTGACAACTGGAGGGAACACGTGACAGGGACAGATGGCAGGAACAGGTGACAGGGACATGTGACAGGAACACGTGATGGAGACAGGTGTGACATCTGCAGGGGACACATGACGGGGACATGTGAGAGGGACATGTGTGACACCTGGAGGGAACACATGACATGGACTTGTGACAGGGACAAGTGACAGGGACATGCGTGACACCTGTGGGGACACGTGTGGACACCTGCACAACACAGGTGTGGTCCCGCAGGGAACTCATATGACACTGACAGGGGACACCTGTGATCACCATAGAGGACATTTGTGATCCTGCAGGGCACAGGTGTGACCCCATGGGGACAGGTGTGACCGCACAGGTGACACCGGCTGTCCCTGTGGGCACGGGGGGAACCAATAGGGGGCACCCAATCCCCATGGGGACAGGTGTGACACCTGTGGGGACATGTGTGATCATCATAGGGACATGTGTGACACCTGTGGGGGACAGGTGTGATCCCTGTATGGAGTATGGGAAACGTGTTCCCTACAGGGACATGTGAGACACATGTAGGGACAGGTGTGACACCTGCAGGGACATGTGGGACACCTGCAGGGACAGGTGTGACACCTGCAGGGACATGTGGGACACCTGCAGGGACAGGTGTGACACCTGCAGGGACATGTGGGACACCTGCGGGGGACCACGTGTGATACTTTAGGAGACTCGTGTGACACCTGTAGGGGAGAGGTGTGACCACCACAGGGACAACAGTGACACCTGTAGGGACAGGTGCGATCACTGCATGGGGTGTGGGAAACCGATAGGGGGCGCCCCTTCCCTACAGGGACAGGTGGGACACCTGTGGGGGACAGGTGTGACAGCTATAGGGACACATGTGACAGCTATAGGGACAGGTATGATCACCACGGGGACAGGTGTGACCCCACGGGGACAGGTGTGATTGCTATAGGGACAGGTATGATCACCACGGCGACAGGTGTGGTTGCTATAGGGACAGGTGTGATCACCACCAGGACACGTGTGACCCCACAGGGACAGGTGTGACCCCACAGGGACAGGTGTGGTTGCTATAGGGACAGGTGTGACCACCACAGGGACAGGTGTGACCCCACAGGGACAGGTGTGACCCCACGGGGGACAGGTGTGGTTGCTATAGGGACAGGTGTGATCACCACCAGGACACGTGTGACCCCACAGGGACAGGTGTGACCCCACGGGGACAGGTGTGGCACCTGCAGAGTGCCCCGTGCAGGTGGGGTCCCACTCCCCCGTGTCCTCCCCGCTGCCCCCAATGCCCGCTGTGACCCCAGCTGTGGAACGAGCGCCCCAAAATCCCCCCGAGTGACCCCAGTGCCCCCAAACACCCCTGTGTGACCCCAGTGCCACCCCATGTGAGCCCCCTCCCCAAACACTCCGAGTGTGCCCCACTCCTCTCAATGCCCCCAGTGTGACCCCAGTGTCCCCAAATCCCCCCTGTGTAACCCTGCACCCCCAAATCCGCAGTGTGCCCCCCTTCCCCCAGTGTGCCCCCCTCCCCAAATCCCCTGTGTGACCCCACTGTCCCCAGCGCCCCCAGTGTGACCCTGCTCCCCCAAACACTCCCAGTGTGCCCCACTCCTCGCTGTGCCCCCAGTGTGATCCCACTCCCCAAATCCCCCCTGTGTAACCCTGCACCCCCAAATCCACAGTGTGCCCCCCTTCCCCCAGTGTGCCCCCCTCCCCCAAATCCCCTGTGTGACCCCACTCCCCCAAACGCTCCCACTGTGACACGGCCCCCCCCAGCCCCCCCGGACCCCCAGCGCTCCCCCGATCCCCCCCAGGCCCCCCAGGCTCTCTCAGAGGCCCCCCAGTCTCTCTCAAACCCCCCCAGTTTCTCTCGGAGCCCCTCCAGGAGCCCCCCAGTCTCTCTCAGAACCCCTCAGTTTCTCTCAGAGCCCCCCCAGTCTCTCTCAGACCCCCCCAGTTTCTCTCGGAGCCCCCCCAGTTTTTCTCAGACCCCCCCAGTTTCTCTCGGAGCCCCCCAATCTCTCTCAGAGCCCCCCCAGTTTCTCTCAGAGCCCCCCAGGAGCCCCCCAGTCTCTCTCAGAGCCCCCCAGTCTCTCTCGGAGCCCCCCCCAGTTTCTCTCAGACCCCCCCAGTCTCTCTCAAACCCCCCAATCTCTCTCAAACCCCCCCAGTTTCTCTCAGACCCCCCCAGTTTCTCTCAGAGCCCCCCAATCTCTCTCAAACCCCCCAGTCTCTCTCGGACCCCCTCAGTCTCTCTCAGAGCCCCCCAGGAGCCCCCCAGTCTGTCTCAGACCCCCCAGTTTCTCTCAGAGCCCCCCAGTTTCACTCAGCCTCTCCCTTTATTGCGCTCCGGCCGCGCTGGGCGGGACATGCAGCGCTGGGGGGGGGCGGGGGGCGCGGGGACCCCCCCGTGGGGTGGGGGGGGGCACAGCCGAGATGCCAAGCGAGGGGACCCGGGGGGGTGCAGGGGGGGGGGCTGCGCTGCCCCCCCATTGTGGGGCCGGGCCGGGGGCGACATTCCCGGGTTAAGGCAGCCCCGGCCCCGCCCCCATCGGCCCCGCCCCCATCGAGGGTCCCGGGGGGTCCTGGGGGGGGGGGGCGGCCCCCTCCCCCCGCACGGAGCGAGCGTGGCACGAGCACAGGACACGGGTGACACCGGTGACACCGGGACATGCGAGCGGAGCCGGGTCTGCAGCACCTGCGGGGCGGGGGGGGACACGGGACACGCGGGTCGGGGGGGGGCAGAGGCACCCGGGGGTCCCCCAAGGATGGGGGGGGGCGGAGCCCGGAGCCTACAGGGCTCAGAGGGGACCCCAGGGATGGGGGGGGGGGGGGATCTTGGGGTGGGGGGGGGCTGGGAAGAGTGAGGGGGGGGGATTTTGGGGCATCCAGGGGCAGGGGGGGGCTTGGAGGGGTTGGGGTCACTCCAAGGATGGGGGGGTCCCCGGGGGTCCCTGAGAAAGGGGGGGGGGCGGGGTCCCACACCCAGGGGGCTGTGGGAGGGGTCCCACACCTGGGGGTGTGGAATGAGTTTGGGGGGGGTCCCACACCCGGGAAGGGGGGGTGTGAGGTGGGGAAGGGGGGGGTCCCTCACCTGGGGGTGTGAGGAATGAGTTTGGGGGGTCCCACATCTGGGAAGGTGTGAGGAATGAGGTGGGGGGAGTCCCACACCTGGGGCTGTGGGAGGGGTCCCTCACCCAGGGGTGTGAGGAATGAGTTTGGGGGGGTCCCACACCCGGGAAGGGGGGTGTGAGGTGGGGAGGGGGGGGGTCCCACACCCGGGGGTGTGAGGGATGAGTTTGGGGGGGGTCCCACAGCCGGGGATGTGAGGGATGAGTTTGAGGGGGTCCCACACCCGGGGATGTGAGGGATGAGTTTGGGGGGGGGTCCCACATTTGGGGCTGTGGGAGGGGTCCCTCACCCGGGGGTGTGACGGATGAGTTTGGGGGGGGTCCCACACCCGGGGAGGGGGGTGTGAGGTGGGGAAGGGGGGGTCCCACACCCGGGGGTGTGAGGGATGAGTTTGGGGGGGGTCCCACATTTGGGGCTGTGGGAGGGGTCCCTCACCTGGGGTTGAGGACTGAGTTTGGGGGGTCCCACAGCCGTGGGGCCGTACCTGGGGGTGGGGGGGGCATTAACTGGCCGCCGTCTCCTGCGCAGGGGGAAGAGCTTGGCCGCCTCCTCGGCCTCGCAGGCGCAGGACAGGTCACTCCTGGGGGGCACGGGGTGTCAGCCGGGCCCCCCCAGCCCCACGAACCCCCCCAGCCGCGCCCCCCCCTCACCTGTTGTCATTGATGTCTGTCACGTTCCCTGCAAGGAAGAGCAGCAGCTCCAGGGGGGGCGTCTGGGGACACCCCCACACCCCCCCCCCATGGGCAGGACCCCGACACTGGGGACACCCCCACACCCCACACCCCCCATGGCAGCACCCCGACACTGGGGACAACCCCCAGGGCCCCCCCTCATGGAGTCACCCCGACACTGGGGACACCCCCAGGGACCCCCCCATGGCAGCACCCCGACACTGGGGACACCCCCAGGGCCCCCCCCATGGCAGCACCGCCCGACACTGGGGACATCCCCAGCGCCCCCCCTCACCGTTATCCACGTTGAGCTGCTGGTAGGGGTCCGGGGGGGTGCTGGGGAGCGTGGGGGGGCCGCTGGCAAAGCTGGGGAGGGGGGGGACAGAGACCCTGAGACCCCCGTGCCCTGTGCCCTGCCCCCCCCAAATAATCCCCCCGTGCACCCCCAGAGCACACCAGGACCCCCCCCACCCCTGCACCCCCCCCGGAACCCCCTGGGACCCTCCCACCCCCCCCTGCACCCCCAGTGCCCCCCCTTCCCCCAGGACCCCCCGCCCCTCTCCCACCCCCTACCCCTGCACCCCCCCTGTCATGCCCCAGGACCCCCCCCTGCACCCCCCGAAACCCCCTGGGACCGTCCCATGACCCGGCACCCCCTGAGCCTCCCTCCCCTCCTCCAGGACCCCCCCCTGCACCCTTAGACCACACCAGCCCTGCTCCAGGACCCCCCCACACCCCTCCTGCCACCCCCAGACCCTCCCATTCCCCTGCCCCCCCAGTGCCTCCCTCCCCTCCCAGCCCCCCCGCACTCACAGGCCGTGGGGGCCGGGCAGGGCGCCCCCCCCGGGGTACCCCTGGAACAGGCTGTTGGTGTAGCTCAGCCCGGTGGGCGATGGCGCCTGCCCCGGCCGCACCGGCTTGGCTGGGGGGGCACGGGGGGGTCAGGGGCGCTGCTGGCACCCGGCACCCCCAGAGGGCACCCCCAGAGTCTGAGGCACCCCCTGGGCCGGGCCCTCCGCCCTTGTGCAGGGGGTGTCAGCCCCGGTACCCCCCCAAAGCCCAGAGTGTGCCGGGCTGGGTGCCCACCCTGCGCCCCCCATGCCCACCCCGCGCCCCCTACATCTCATGCACCCCCCCGTGCCCACCCTGCGCCCCCCGTGCCCACCCCGCACCCCCCACATCTCATGCACCCCCCGTGCCCACCCTGCACCCTGGGCACCCCCTGCCCACCCGGGATCTTCTGTGCCCACCCCGCACCCCAGGCCCCAGTTCCAGTCCATGCTGTGCACCCCCGTGCCCACCCTGGGCACCCTGGGCACCCTCCACATGCCCGCACCCCCCCCACACCCCCCGCGCCCCCCATGCCCACCGTGCACCCCTGTACCTGTGCCCACCCTGCACCCCCTGTGCCCACCCCTGCACCCCTGTACCTGTGCCCACCCTGCACCCCCTGCACCTGTGCCCACCCTGCACCCCCTGTACCCACCCTGCACCTGTGCCCACCTTGCACCCCTGCACCTGTGCCCACTCTGCACCCCCTGTACCCACCCTGCACCCCCTGTGCCCACCCTGCACCCCTGTACCTGTACCCACCCTGCACCCCCTGTGCCCACCCTGCACCCCTGTACCTGTACCCACCCTGCACCCCCTGTACCCACCCTGCACCTGTGCCCACCCTGCACCCCCTGTGCCCACCGTGCCCACCCTGCACCCCCACACCCCCCCACACCCCGCCATGCCCACCCTGCACCCCTGTACCTGTGCCCACCCCGCACCCCGATCCGGTGCCCCCGTACCGATGTTCCGGGCCCCCCCGGTTCCCCCCGGTTCCCCCCGTACCGATGTGGGCTCCGTGCCCCCCCGTTCCCCCTGGTTCCTGTTCCCCCCGGTTCCCGGTTCCCCCCGTACCGATGTGGGCTCCGGGCCCCCTGGTTCCCCCCGGTTCCCCCCGGTTCCCCCCGGTGCCCCCGTACCGATGTGGGCTCCGGGCCCCCGCCGCGCGCCCCCGGGCCCGCACGGCCTCTCGGATCCGCTCCACCTCCTGCTGGTACCGGCGCTTGTCCAGGCGCGCCCCCTCCTTGGCCGCCCTCAGCGCCCCTTCCAGGGCCTGCACTCTCCCAGCCGTAGCGCGCAGCCGCTTCTTCCAGCTTCGGAAGCTCACAGCGCAGGTCTGCATTGTCACGGACCAGCTGTGCGACACGTCAGTACCGGCACCGGCACCGGGACCCGCCCGGACCCCCCTGCGGCAACCGGCACCGGCACCCGAACCTGCCCTGTCCCTGCCCCGGGGCTCACAGCGCAGGGTCCGCACTGCCACGGACCCGTTCTGTGACACGGCAGTACCGGCACCGGTACTGGGACCCCACCGGGAGCGGGACCCACTCCCAGCATCACCCGCACCTGCCCCTGCACCGCCACCGACACCCGCACACAGCGGCGCATCCTCATCCCTCCACAGCCAGCGGTACCGGCACCGACACCCAGCCGCACACACCGGTACCAGCACGGTACATCCACACCCATTCACAGCCGCTGGTACCGGCACCGACACCCAGCCGCACACACCGGTACCAGCACCGGTACATCCACACCCATTCACAGCCGCCGGTACCGGCGCTGGCACCCGCACACACTGGTACCAGCACCGGTACATCCACAGCCGCCGGTACCGGCTGCCAGGCACACCCGCATACACCGGTACTGGCACTGACGGCCGCACACAGCGGCACATCCACACCCATCCACAGCCGCTGGTACCGGCCCCAGCAGCTGCACGCACGGACATTGACACCGACACTGACACCGGCACTGACACCGGCACTCACACCGACACTGACACCGGCACTCACACCGGCACTCACACCGGCACTGACACCGGCACTCACACCGGCACACACCGGCACACACCGACACTGACACCGGCACTGACACCGGCACTGACACCGACACTGACACCGGCACTGACACCGACACTGACACCGGGCACTCACACCGGCACTCACACCGGCACTGACACTGGCACACACCGACATTGACACCGGCACTGACAACCGACACTGACACCGGCACGCACCGGCACACACCGTCTCTGCCCCGCTCCGGTTCCAGCAGCGGTGCTGGCAGCGGCTCAGCTGTGCAGCCCGGCCCGGCCCCGCAGCAGCGGGGGGCAGCTCCGGTCCCCGCATACCCCGGTCCCAGCAGGGCCTCGGGGGGCTCAGAGCCCCTAACGGTGCCTGGGTGGGGGGTTCCGTGCCCCCCGCGGTACGTGGGGGGGTCCCAGCCCTCCCCGCAGTGTCCTGGGCTGTCCCGGGCTGTCCCTGCATTGTCCCAGGCTGTCCCTGCATTGTCCCGGGCTGTCCCTGCATTGTCCCGGGCTGTCCCTGCGTTGTCCCGGGCTGTGTCCCCCCGCAGTGCCCCCATGCAGCAGTGGGCTGTGCTGGGGGGCAGTGAGGGGGGGCTGGGGGCGCAGGGAGTGAGGGAGGGGCCCCAGCCTGGGGTGGGGGCACTCAGGGAGGGGGGCAGGAGGGGAAGGGGCGCTGGGGGAGCCAGGAGAGGGAGGGGAGGCTGCAGAACTGGGGGGAGCA